ATCTGACCTCTACTGGCCCTCATCTAATGATTGTAAGATATTCACTTGCAAACATGTTTGTTTTTCTCTTCGGAGGATTATGCCCTTTCAGGTTTACGTTTTATGATCCCTAGAATCATACATACCAGGTACACAGGTTTGCAGTGTGACTATTACACCCCTAAAACACCTAATGGGAGGGAGTTGGATGGACTCTTTTTAACCCTTCTATTCCTAGGTTGCATGATTGTATAGCCTCACACTGCCTACCCCTTTTTATACAGGTATTGTTAATCACTCCACCCTCGCCTTTTAAAAGGATGCAATGTAACTACCCTTTTTATTTCCTCTAGCTTAAGGGTTTCTTCGCCCTTTCTCTATTTGGATTATCTGCTGAATGGTCCCAAGTTTTTTTCGGCAGTCCTCCGTAATGCTAAATTAGACCCTTTATTCTTCAGGTGACATCTTCCCCTAACCGGTGATGACCTGTCCTAGTCTGGACAGGATTTATCCTTGGTGCCCTCCCCTTTGGGTCATGACAATTCCATATTTGGTTTGCCCTGGTTCTACCTTCGTTCAGGTAGCAAACCCTTTAGACCATGGGCGCCCACAATTGTACATCTGGAGATCTACTTTTCAAATGACGATCTCAATGAGACCTACCAATGAAAAAACACCTTTCATTGGTAGGTCTCATTGAGATCTAGCGGGATTGAGCGGGAGGGGGTGTGGCGGTGCATTGAAGTCAATGGCACCACAGGCAGGCCCCTCACCCACAGTGCGATCGCCTGCGTTCCAGTCCAGTGCGATCCGCAAAAATGCTGTGAGCGTTAGCTGCGAGCACTAATGTGCCTGCGTTCCGGGTGCGGTAATTGCACTGTCGGCGGGGGGCATGGCTGCAGTGCCATTGACTTTAATACAACCCCACACCACCACCCGCCCCTGAACGCAAGGAGTCGGCCGGCGTCCTGTCCTCCCATGGTGCTCGTGTGGCCGACATTTCACATGGGGAGAGGTGTCCTGCCCCTTTCCATCTGCAGCGTCTGACACATGCAGCCGCACGAGCACCTTGGGAGCATAGCCGTAGCCAGCTCCTTTTGCGCCCGAGGCAAGTCACCCAACGCCCTGCCTCCAGGATTTTGTTTTTATTTTTATTCCTATTTTTTATTTTACTCTTGGGGGGCTTCGGGGAAATATTAGGGGTCTAAACAACCCCCTGATATTTCCCTTTTAAAATAGAAAAAGAAATTGAGGACACAAAGTCCTCAATCTCTTTTTCTGCAGCCTCTGTTCTAAATGAATGGAAAGCACACAGGCTTTCCATTCATTCAGAAAATATTTTATGATCATACAGTTTCTGAATGGGGAGGAGCCTCTGTACAGAGTGCTTAGCGGAGCCGCTGTCACAGAACTAAGGCAGAGCAGCGAAGGGAGAGAGAGGCGCCGGCTGTCAGAACCTGGCTGAGTCTCTCGCTCTCCTCACCGCTCGGCCTTAGTTCTGTGACAGCGGCTCCCTCCTCCGCCCCCTCCCCCGGCTGCAGTGGTTCCTTCACTTCTTCTCGGATCCCCGCTGCCTACAGATGGGGGAAAGTAGCGGGGATCCAGAGAAGCCCCACCGGCAGGAGGGGAGGAGATCGACTGGTAGATTGCGATCGACCTTATGGGCACCCCTGCTTTAGACACTCTTTATAAGATTTTCTCATCTGTTGGATCTTTGTGACTATTGCCTACCCCACTGTTGAACTACTTTTGGACATCCCAGTAGTCTAAGATTTGCTAAAGTCCTCTGTCCCTCAATGGACGAGAAAGAAAATAAGATTTTTGTACTTGGTATAAAATCTTTTTCTTGACGCCCATGGAGGCACTCAGATCCCGCCTCTGTGTTATTGACCTTATGTACTGCTTGCTCACAAAACTGAGTTATGAAGGTTGTAGGTGGGGTCATACAGGGGCTGACTCCCTGGTTTTTGTTCTGCCAGTGTCCCAACTTCCTGAAGCTGGCAGTATAACCCATTAGTCCAAGAATTGTAACTAAAGTCTTGTGTCCCTCAGTGGACTTCATCAATTTTAGTTTACAGAAGTACGGAAAATATTTTGAAAGAATGTAAAACAGGTTAATTAGAGTAGGAATATGTTGCCTTATTTGTAGTAAATACCTCTTATGTTTCCCTTTTTCTGCACTGTGCAATAGAAGTAATTAAACTGCAAACACAAAAACGAAGGAGAGAACAGCTTCCTACTGATGACCTTCCTGAAGCTACAGCGAGTGTCAACTGTCATCTCACCAGCACTGCTGATTTACAGCCTATTACAAATCAAGAAACAGAAAATGCAGCACTCTCAATGCAGATTGACACTTGTACCATTGAAGAGTCACCTTACGTTAACCAAAATGCATCTTCTGAGTCCAAAAGCCCAGGCAAATCCACCACTATACCACAAGAACGGAAAAGAGTTAGGATAATTGAAGATATTAAAGGTGCCCAAGCTGTAAGTGAAGGAGACGAAACAATCTCTAAAGCAAGGTCAGTGTGTTCTCCAATACTTGAACGCTGCATTCCACAAAGACATAGATCTTCTTTTTTAATTCGCTTTGTGAGCTACATTTTCCGCCTCTTCCTGTTTTTCTTAAGCTTTGCATGGTGTTTGTTTCCTGCATTTCGCTGTCCAAGACTTTTTCGTACTTTTAAAAACCTTAAATCATAAACCTTATAAAAATATTTTAGTTTTGAAATCTTAGATTGTTTCACATGTTTATGAATTTTGCACTTAATGTTCAGTATTATTCATTTAAAACCCAACTGAAGTCCCAGAAATACTTATCCAGCTAGTTAAATATTGTACCAACAACCTCCATTTTCAGAGTTGCCTCCAATTTTCTGTTACAGCAGTTGTGCAGGGTATCTAAATATAACTATAGAGTCCAAAGGGAAATGGGGTTAGACCCAGTAACATTCAGTAACAGACCTAGTCAAACACTCCCGCTCTCTTCCTTTGCACTACAAGTCTGGGATGTGAGGGGTGTTTGTTACTGAGCTTATGCCAACATAGCACATTGGAGTATAAACGCAGGAAACAACATACCACTCTTTTTCCTCAGTGAAAATGCTAAGACCTTTCCAGAAACAAAATTGTCACAGATTGTAACATGCTACAGGACAAGATTAAAAGGTGCAAGACTTCAATTGGGCTTTAAATATTTAAATCTTAGTTTGATTTAACTAAAAACTAATGTAGTGTATTTTTTGACACAATTGACATTTGTTTTACATTTAACATTATTACTTGATTCTGTATATGTGATGGCTTATCAGTGAGTTTTTACTCCTTCATTGTCCAATCACAGCAGGCTATGGGCCAAAAGGTGTTGCTACTGTGTCCGTTAACTGTAAGGGGAAAGTGTCACCTATAAAGAACCCACAATTTTCTATGAAATAACTTGAAAACTGGCAGAAGTAATAGGCATCCATCATGTTTTTTTTCCATTAATAAAAAAAAAGACTTTGCTTTTGATTCAACAGAACATTTTACATGAAAATGGCATGGACAAAAATGATGGGACCCTTAATCTAATATTTTGGTGCACAAGCTTTAGAAGCATTTGCTGCAAATCAGCGATTTTTATAGCACTCATTGAGACTTCTGCACCTGCCAACAGGTAGTTTGATTCATTCTTGAGCAAACTGCTCCAGCTGTCTGTTTTAAAGGGTGCCCTAAATGTTTCAGCTCTTTCAATAGACGTTCGATAGGATTCCGATCAGAGCTTATAGAAAGCTACTTCAGAATAGTCCAATGTTTTGTGTTTTAGCCATTCTTGGGTGCTTTTAGCTGTGTGTTATGAGTTATCTTGTTGGGAGACCCTTGACCTGTGGCTAAGATAGCGCTTTCGAACACTGGGCAGTACATTTCACTACAGAATTCATTGATCGTCTTGCGTTTTCATTGCTTTATAGGAGTACAACAGCAAAAAAATTTCCCAGCATACTCACTAGCCAGCATGCAAAAAAAATTGTCTCACAGCTAAGGTTAAAAACAGAGGTTTAGATACACGTCTTCTGCAGAAAATGTGAAAGCCGCATCGCCTCGCCAAGGCACCTCTATATAGTGTGGTCCTAACTGAACGGACTGCGAACGTGAGAACTGTAGCTCATAAAACACATAGGGATACATTTGGATGCATTTTTAGTGCAGGAGCGTACGGATCAGGTCAGCACAGAAAACGGACGCCGTGTGAACAGGCCCTCAATTATGAGAGGCTCCATCTTGGAGCACATGTGGCAAAAGATAAAATTGGGTGCAGGTTTGTCCCTGTGCCTTTTAAGGAGGTTGGGCTTCCTCCTGACAAACCTGCACCCAATTTTATATTTTGCCACATGTGCTCCAAGATAGAGACTCTCATAGTTTAGAGTTAGGACCGCACTATATAGAGGTGCCTTGGCGAGGCGGTGCGGCTTTCACATTTTCTGCATAAGACGTGTATCTAAACCTGTTTTTAACCTTAGCGGTGAGACAAGTTTTTTTTGCATGCTGGCTAGTGAGTGTGCTGGGAAACATTTTGCTGTTGTACTACACAGATTCAAGGTACCACATGTCAGACACAGCAATGCAGCCCCAAAACATAACCGAGCCTCCTCCTCTGTGTTTCACAGTTGGTACAGTGTTTGGGGGGGTTTTCCTTGATGATGTGATTTGCCAAAAAGCTCCAGTTCTCTCATTTGTTCAAAGTACATTCTCCTAGAAACATTGTGGCTTGTCAGTATTAATATTCGCAAATCCCAGTCTAGGTTTTTTAGGATTTCTTTTATGTTGCTCTTAAAGCGACGCATAGTGCGCAATCAAACACTGATGTACTTTGACCTTGGAATTCAGCTTGCCTCTCTTTGGAAGTTTTCCTCGGCTCTTTTTTACTATATGCACTATCTTTTTGCTTAATCTGGGCTCGATTTTCCTCTTGCAGCCAAATTAAGGGTGTTTGACTACACTCCCATGGATCTTAAACGTCTTAATAAAATTTGCAACTGTAGTCAAAGGAATATCAAGCTGCTTGGAGATGATTGGCTGCTTTTGGCTTTTACCTTTAACATGCTTGTCTATAATTTTTTTTTTCTGATCTCCCCTGACAACTCTGAACTTTCTTTGGTCCATGTTGAGTGTGTTGCATACAATGACACCAAACAGCAGAGTCACTACTTTTTTCCATTTAGGGCTTGTTCCTACAATGTCTTTTAGGCTTTGTTTTTCTGCACACAACCACACATATGTTGTGAACAGAGCACATAGACAACAGTTGTTTTCCATGTCCCCTGTTCACACCATATAAGCCGGGGTGGGCAGAAAAACTCAGCTCAACTGACATGGTGTGAACAAGCCCTTAAATGGCCTGATTAACTGATTATTAGATTGAAGTTGTTTGATACTAATTACAGAAAACATTTTGAAATCTCACTGATCCATTTATGTATAATCAATAAAGTAAGTTTTAGGATACCTTTGTGGAATAAGCTATAATGTATCTCTTTTCACAATTTCTTTGCTTTACTTTGACATACCAAAGGCATGCAGGTATACATAAGACATGGAGCTGTCCCTGAAGACTCACTTTGTGTGTAAGGCCAGGATACAGCACTGTTATGCATCTTTTCAAATTACCTGCCACCTCCACTTCTCAACACTCTTCCAAGCAGACAATATCAGTGCTCAGTGTTAACTCTTACTGCTGTGAACGCTCCACACTATCTTCCTGCCATCCTGTGACTGCTCCTTTTCAAGCACTTTATGGAACTCCGTGCAGTCTTTGGTTTGTTACCATTGCCCGCCTGCAGTGATCTGGTCACTCTGACCTTCATCAGCACCAGCTGCCTTGGATTTTTTTTGTGAGTAACTGAAGCCTTGCCTTATACTTTGGGCCTAGTTGCATGGCCGCAGCATGTCTGCACAAAGGCACACTGGGGGCAGTCCCTCTACTATGGCGGTTCTAGGGGTATTTACTCTGTTTCCTCTGAAAAACCCAGCATCTGCAATGAGAATAGAACCTAGCACCCCTATTGTTAGTGTCCTTTTCATTGAACTCTTTCTCTACTCCATCCGATTTGGACCCTGTCCTCAGGGACATCTACATTGATTCAGAGCTTAACGTCTTGCACACATTGAAAGCAGAGGTTCTGAGCTCGCACCAGCGCCATCCCCAGCAGAGTCTCTTTGACCCTCAGAGGTCTTAGGTCAGATTGGACCACTGGTCCGAGCTACCATATTAGACTCGGATTCAGAGTCCCATCAGTCTGTTTCTGAAGTAACTGTTCTGAAGTAACTGTTTTTAAAGCATCAATCACCTGCTATCCCGTCAGAGTTACAGTGGGTGGTGTTGGACCTTATTGATTTAGCGCATATTGCCTTGCAGTTGGAAGATCAGCCTGGTGTCTCCATTCTTGGGTCTTTTAGAGTGCCAACTACTGCCAAGGACCTTCTCTTGCACCCACTTTTCTAGAAAGACAGGAAGCACCCTGAAGGGTCCTCGACCCCAACTTAGTGTTCTGCTAATGTTTCCCTTATGAGAGGGGATTTATTAAACAGTAGACAGTTCCTACCGTTGCCTAATCCATTGTACCACCTTAATGGCAACACCACTGGTTAGGTAGAAGGCATGCTCACTGTTAAAGATGCTATTGACGGGCAGTTATAATCCTTTCTTTAATGCCAGTTTGAACAGGTTTGTTCTACCCTCTGTTGGCAGTTACCCTATTCTGTAAGACCAGGTCAAAAAGGGTTAATTCCCTCCAAAGGGATCTATCCTCAGTGGACTCCTGTTGCTGTGAGCAGGTATAGAAAACATCATCTGGTTTTGCTACGTGCCTTAAAGCTTGAATCCCCCTTGAGTCTGATGTCACATAGGAACAGATGCACAGGGCACTATTGGTGCACTGCTGAGATGCTGATACCATATTTATGGAGCATCTGAATAGTGTAGCCTTCGAGGGTAGCCACCTCTTTGGTATTCTGTGACATTACTGACCACAATGTCCAGCGCAGGGCCAGAGTGCCCCCAGGCCCCACTGAGCCTGACTATCACTCAGCCTGTAGGCTCAAACTCAGAGGTCAACTTATCCCTCTGCATGAAGGTGCATCCTTCTACAAGTTGGAGGGTGATTATGTATCTTGGTGGACCTTTGAGCAGCTTTTCTCTCTGGCGCACAGGTGCAAGGAGCTCCCTTCTGAGCCCACAAGATTAAACCCTTGCTTCTGTGGCCTCCATTAGTAACTCATAGTTATCTCCCTGCATCTTCTCCAGTCTCTATGGGTTCTTTTCAACCAGAGACACCTTGTTCAATCCTGAGGTTAGCTTGGGTTCTGGAGCAGTGCCCCTTCCCCAGTCTCTATTCAAAGACTCGCCTGCTTCCCCTCTCCCCCCACCCCCCTCACCTAGCTATTTCCTAGGCCCCTTTCTTGTCTTTGCCTGGAGGTTTTTGTTTTTTTATCATTAACAACTTTTAGTGACGTTTTATACAAAGATACTAGACATCTACATTGA